TCTTGATTTCCTCGTTTTATTTATTTAATTCCTCTTTTCTTACTTATCGAAAGATTTTCTATTTTTAACGTCTCAGTTAATAATCATGTTGGTTATATACATGTAGGTATAGCTTCGATCTTGCCATATCTCATTTATTGTTTCTGCCTTGGTACCAAAGTGTGTACTGCTGTGTGAGTACTTAATTTTGGATTTGTATAGGAATCTGTAATCGAGCTTCGCTACTATGCACTTTTGATTGTGCGGATTTCGTGGTCGATTTTTCATATTGGACTTCGTTTTTGAACATTGTAAAATTTTCGTGAATGCAGCATTCTCAATGTGTTTGAATCCGTGGATTTGAGATTTGGATCCGGTGGGGTTGGTCCCCAGATAATAGATGGCTTGGTTTAGCGGGAAAGTTTCTTTAGGAGGCTTCCCTGATCTGGCTGGGGCAGTGAATAAGCTCCAGGAGAGCGTGAAGAATATAGAGAAGAATTTTGATAGTGCTCTCGGGTTTGAAGAGAAGTCCAATAATGAGGGTTCTAGCAGTGAAGGTACTTTACATGTTTCTTAGCTCTCCTTATATCTGGTTAAAAGTAGGTGATGGTAAAGGGGAATTAATGGTTAATTATCTGCTCTGTGTAAAAGCTGCTGTTCATATCGATCTTATAAGTTTCGTTATCAGTTTTTCATGTTGATGATTAAATCTATTATCAATCTTTAGGGCATTCTTTTGAATGCTATGTTGCACCATAAATAACCATGCACAGTTTATAGGGAAAATAGAGGAGTGTTGTTAATCATTTTATAGCTTTGTGCATTCATATGGCATGAGAGTGCCGTACGTGTTGCATAATTATCTTGTTTGCCTGTCTATAAGTATGTCAATTATTATCATTGAATGTATAAAATGCTAATTTTGTACTTGCGATGTCTATGATGCTTTCTGCCTAACAGCTTCAGGTTTATGGTCTTCTGCAACTGAGAGGAAAACACTTTTTGATCCTGTTATGGCCTTTATGGGGCATAGGAATGAAGAAAATGCTGTATTATCATCTGTATTATCACCAGAAAGAACTGGGTCTTTGGAGCATCCATCTATGGTTGAGGGAGCAGGAGGTGAAATCGACAGTTTGGCACCTAAACAAATAACTTCCGAGGATGAAGAGCAAGTTCCCAAAGTACGAGAAGCTGATGAACCAGAGCTCGCAGAAGTAGCCATTAACATGGTTACAAATCCAGATAAAGCTGAGTTCGCCCCTGATAATGTTGACTTACCAGGTTCACAAACAATGTCAACTGAGCCTCCTGAATTTGCTGCTCATGATGTTAGGCTCTCAGATTCCATTGACAATCAAGAGAAAGATACCTTAGAAGTGGCTCCATGTAAGGATCCGGAGTTGGTGGAGGCCAAGCCAGAATCTGTTGAGGCAGAACAAGTTGGAGCTCTTGTCTTTATGCCAGAACAGGTGCATATTGTTGTTGATGCACCTGAGGATGTCGACAAACATGCGGCAACAGATAAAGAAGTAGTAGGAGAAAATTCTCCAGTTAGAGCCGAAGTGTCAAGTGATAGCTCTCATGGAGAGAGAAATGAGTCTTCTGGTTCTCTTTCTATTGGTATTGAGGAGGCTGGGCATGCTCATGATATTTCTTTGCGAAATGCACTTCCTTTAAATGAGGCCTCAGAGATCATTCCGAAGTCTGTTCCTGAAACTGATGAAACAATTGAAGCAGTTGAAGTAGATCCTCAAACAAATGATAGCGAAACAGACGAAGGCCAACATGTAAGCTCAGCAACTAATATACCTGATTCTCTAGGCCCCAAACTTGAGCTGGAGAAGGCAAAGAAGGAGATGAAAATGATGGAAACTGCATTGCAAGGTGCTGCAAGGCAGGCACAGGTACTTAATTTGCATCTTTACATGGTAGATGGTAGTTTGGTAGTTGATTAATCATTTTGGTTTTTTTGCTAATAACGTATCCATATTCTGGTTTCCTTAGTTTACTTTCTTGACTAAATTTTGTCTTGCAACATATATGCATATAAATAGGATCAAAGTTCTTTACATTGTAGAGAATAAGCCTTTTTCGACTCTTATTGGTGATTTTCTTTTTGTTTCTTCATTTTCTTGGCCCTTTGACTTTTTTTTTTCGTTTTCCGTAAGGTGTAAGGTCCTTATTAGAACCTTGTTAGTAGTTATCTTTAGCGTTAGCTCTTTCCTTTTTGTCCCATGTGGACACTGCTTTTTTTCTTTTGTTTGTTTTTTTTTCTATTCTTCCTTCTCTCATTGGTTGATGTTATCATGAAAGGTAAATCATGTTCCATTTGTCAATAGTCACTGTGGAGGAGGACATGGGGATGATCATTCACAAAAATCACGGGTGCTTTAGCTACAAATAAGAATATAAACTAGACTTGGTTGATTTCAGATTTCAAAAGTTGCTTCTATTTTGAGCTTAAAGGTTGTCCAAGGTCAAGGAAAGCCTAGATCTACTTTCTCTAGGCTTTAACTATTGAGAAATGATAGTGGGCTTTGACTAAAAAGACGAAATTTAGTTGGAGAGAAAAAGGGTAGCTGATATGTTCCTCTAGTCTTGTTGGTGGTTTGTAGTCAGAGAAAAATCTTCGGTTCTGACAGTTGCTTTTTGTTCCTCCTTATTCCTTTTTGGCGGAGTTTTCTTCTAACTTGTAGATGACTTGTGATCATCTTTTTACTGGCAGCGGTAGCTGTTTTTCTTCTTGTGATGATTTCCAATTATGAAGATTTTGATATTAAGGAACTTATTTCTCATAGAACCAGCCTCTATGGCCCCAGGTTGGACATCCTTCTGTTGCTAGGTTTGGAGGTTAGAGGAGAAGCAATCTTATTGTTGGTTGTTGTGAATAAAAACTTTGATTTCTAGGTGGGTGCTACTGGCAGTAAGTTGAGGTTGGTTGTGTTGAATAACTGGAGGGGGGAAGGGCAGAAATGAGGTGTCAGGTATTGTAGAATGAGGACATTGCTTTTTGGTGGTCTTGAGTGGGCCTTAAAATGTTAGCTGTTTGCTTAGGGTTTAACTTTGAAGGGTTTGAGGAGCAAGCTACTAGTTTAATTTGGGGAAGTTAGGAAAGGCAGAAAAAACAGGAGGTAAATCCAGAAGGTCCCAAGTACTTCAGTTCTACTAACTAGATAAGGGGCAGGAATAGGTTAGGTGCCAAGTGTGGGTCGGATAATTTCCCATACTAAGATAGATAATTTCTTAGAATCTTTATTTCAAAAAAATCTTGAGGGGTTTGAATGACATTAAAAAACAAGTAGGTCTTGAGTGGTCTTAGGAGATCGCATGGGATGGGTTTGTGGAGGAAGATTTAGATGGATTGGTTAGTTTTTAGGAGTGCATTCAATGGAAGCTCGACAGAGGTAACAAAATCAGATTTTGGCAGGATGATTGGTTAGATTGGGGGGGGGGGGGTATCTCATGAGGCGGTTCCCGAGGATATTTGCCATTGTATAATCAAAGAACATGGTGATTGGGGATGCATATAGGGATATTAATGGTATCAGAGAATGGATGGTGAATGTTTCTAGAAACTTGAATGATTGGGAAATTTGTGAGTATGTGTTGATAAAGATTTCATGCTAAATATAATACTATATTAGTTAGAGTTCTAACAGTATAATTATATCCTATAATTAGAGTTAAACTAAAATAAGGATAACTACTTTATATATATGTTTTAAATGTAAATACAAAAAATAAGACATAAGATTAGAAATTTATTTTTTTCAAAAACTTCATAGTATCAGAGCCAAAGGAAGACTATTTTAAAATTTTGAAAAAACTCTAAAATAAACAAAATAGATCAAAGTTGGTACTCAACTACCAAAGAAACCAAACTCAACATCACTCAGACAGAGTCATTTCTCAACCCCCGCAAGAACAGCCACAGTTTCCGTGCGCGTCCGCCACACGCACCGTCGGCTTCATTCCATTCGGCCTGAAAAACGGTGGAATACTGTCAGAAAAGCCCAATTGAGACAAATCTGGTTCCTCTCCGCATAAAATCTGACTCGATCGCGATTATCCGACCTTTTTTTCACACGGCTGTGCGCGTTCGGAAGATCTGCCGTTCTGCACCGTCCACCGCTTCGATCCGGCCGATTCGCATTTGGAGATGGGTTGACTGATCCTCTGCACACCACGCTGCTTTGGTCGCGCCCTGAGTCGCGCTGCATTGATTGGACAGAGCCCCTCCCTTGCGTTAGTCTGCTTTTCCGCGCACAGGACATCTGGTGTGGCCATTCCGTGGCCAGACTGCTCCGACCTGGTCCGCCCGCGCTTGAGCAGAACTGTTCGCGTCCAAGCCGGAGCCGAGCCAGATCTGGTTCCAATTTTTTGTCTTTTTTCCGATTTTTAGATCCCTTTTTGGCTCGTTGGTGTAGATAGAAGGTCCGTTTTTCATTATTGGGTATTTTTCCTTCTTATTTTTAGCATTCTAAGATGACAAAAGCAAAAAAGGTGGGTGTTACTAACTTTGAGAACCCTTCATTACAAATCAGTTCTGTAAAACTTGATGAAACTAATTATCTTGTTTGGTCAAGATTTTATTTATTATTCATCAAATGTAGAAGATTGCAGGTTACATTACTGGTGAGGTGAAGAAACTAGATGTTGATAGTTTAGAATATAATAGATGAGATTCTGAGAGCTCATTGGTAATGTTATGACTCATAAATTTCATGCAACCCCATATTGGTAGAACATATTTGTTATTTTACACTGCCGAAAAAATATGGAATGCAACATCTTTTACATATTCACAGATAGATAATGATGCTCAGATTTATGAACTTCGGAATAAAGTTCATATGACACAAAGTAAGGATAAATGACTATTTTTCAATATTTTTTTGAATTGAATGGATTATGGCAGGAGTTAAATTGCTATCAAGATTTTCAAGCAGAATGTTCTGCAGATGTAATCAAATTTCAGAAATTGATTAGAAAATAACGAATTTATAATTTTTTATCTGGTCTGAATATCGAATATGATCAAATATGGGTTCAAGTACTTGGTAAGAATCCATTTTCTTCATTAGAACAAACTCATGCTTATGTTCAGTAAAAAGAAAATAGAAGAATGCATACTTCACATTGCACTAGTTGAGATGGCTAGTGGCTCAGTCTGATCAATTTAGAATAATATGGAAGTGTGACTATTGTGGCAGATAGACATACTAGAGAAACTT